TTTATTTACATCACTTTACATTTCCACGTGTTTTATTCACCTATCTCTGCTTTTGTGTATACCTCTTTACATTCTGTCCCATTCCTTATTATTTTACAAAAGTATTCTTAATTAAAGCACTCCTATGACTAACTTATTTATTTAAATAAAATAACTTTACTTCACTGGAGAAGAAAAAACATCCAGGTTTTTAAGCCATATTTTACAACACAATTGCAATTTAACATTTAAAAAAAATTCTCGATCAATTTGAAGTATTTAAATAAAAAACAGTCTGATATCACAAATCTTGGGGAAAAAACTTTGGCAAGTCTGTTTCGCAATCCTGAAGCAGTTATTTCTCCCATATTTTTAACGAGTCATTGAACGCATCAGCAGATCACATGACCACATGGAAGTGAATCACATGCCTCCTGCCTGCTTCTTCTGTTTGTATCAACATGGCTGTTCAGAGGAGTGAGTCTCTCCTCTCCAGCGTTACTGTATTTCTGTTATTCTCTCTGTGTGTGTTTGCAGAGGGAAGGGTTAAGGGCTTCAGGAAGTTCAGTGAAGGCCAGGACCCTGAATGCACCACGGGGGGTGTGTGTGATGAGCTGTGGTTCACCCAGAAACTTGATCACTTCAATGGAGCTGACAGCAGACAGTGGAAGCAAGTAAGTCCTAAAAAAGGATTGAATAAATACATGTTGATTAAACTGGGTTTGCAGTGAAGACCCCATAGAGTTTTCATAGCGGAGGCCACTGTAAATCTTGCAAAACTGAAACGTATAACTGAGTTTCAGGAAGTGCATCATGCTGTTGCAGCAGGCTATGCTAGTTGAAACAGTTTGCATAATATGAGAGGTAGTAGTTTCCTCTTTAAGACTATCTGTACGTTGCATCATCTTTTATACTTTTCACTGTGAAGCTTTGCACATTTTCATTCAGATTTAACATATTTGTTTCATATTTTTATTTTCTTAATTTAGCTTACCATGTTATTATAATTATTATTCCTGCATTTAACTTGCAGCAGTATTTCACCGGCACTGTTTTATTTCTCTATGACTTCATTTGTCTGTATGTTACATTGTTGACTTACTATCTCATTATTATCAGTTATTATCTTGTAACTATGACTTACAGGATATTTGTGTTTCTTTTCTGTGGTCCAAATGGGCTTCCATACATGTCCAGATTTTTTTTGTCACGTAATAAAGACAGCAGACAAACTGTTGCAAACCTGACCATCAATGTGTATTTTGTTTAGGCTGTTTTTTAAATCTGTAATATGTTGCTATGCATGCTTCTTAGCTAACATTAAGCTGTCTTTGGCTCCTGTCTGCTGTAACAAATGTAAATGTCCCCTCGGTGGGACGAATAAAGGAATTCTGATTTCCCCCCCTCAGAGGTATTTTGTAAACAAAGCGTTCTCCAGGCCCGAGGGTCCGGTGTTCCTGATGATCGGGGGCGAGGGTCCTGCTAACCCGGCCTGGATGCAGAACGGCACCTGGCTGAAATACGCAGAGAAACTGGGAGCGCTGTGCTTCATGCTGGAGCATCGCTTCTATGGGAAGAGCCGACCCACCAGGTGCACTTTGAGCTTTCTGATTAACTTTTCCTTCATTGTTTTATCACACACACACACACACACACACACACACACACACACACACACACACACACACACACACACACACACACACATTTTCTTTGACTCTAAGATAATATCTACACACAAACAGAGTTGTTATTTCCCAAAATCAGCACTGCAGTCAGTCGGCGTCATCACCAGGAAGAGTTTGGCTTTCTCTCCGGGTTGAAAACATGGAAAGATTGAAAGGCCTGATTGTCTTAGGCAACGAATATCTTAAGTCCCAGTCTCCTCCAACAATGAGAAAAGACTTACAATAGTTTAATAAAGACATATTGGTGCAAGAATAAGAGAGGTATATTTAGTATTGTTCAGTAGAATAAATACTATGTACAGAACTAATGTATATATGTGACATTAACAAAGTGTTTATGATGCTAAATATGACAAAATATACCCCAAATATTGTGATTTTTTAAATTTTCCACTTGTTAAGAGGTCCTAATGAATGTGAAAAGTACAACATATTTAATGTGCACTCTGTAAGGACACAAAAAAG